AAAGGTGCATGGGGAAAGTTAGTAGGAAACGTCTCTAGTGACCTATGTCAACGATGTAACATATAAATCTTAAAACTTACTTGAGAAAACGGCCCTAAGAGAACTGGGTATACGGGTAGACGAAAGAAAAGAACGATTGGGAATGAGCAGTGTAGTTTATTGATGCCCATCCAATATAGGCAAGGACACCGATTATGCGCGACCTAAAAAATAATTCTACAGGCACTCTAGAGCCCTTCTTCCATGTAGAACCCACTGGAAAAGAAATTTGTTAGCTCTGCCTGTAAACATAATCTCGTCGATGAACCCATTAAGGAACACGGAGCTGGATCTGGCGTTTTTTCTGAATCCTTGGCAGTAGGAAGATCACTCCATCGTCCTAAATTTGTAAGAAGTTTCCAAGCAAAAGTACTTTCAATCGCTGAAAGATGTCGGCTTTTTAAGTGTCATAATTTGCGCCACAATAAAGGCGACTGGCCAGAATGGCTCTCACTTTCTCTACAGCAAAGTCGAAGCTGAGCAGAATACTTTTGAATAGAATTAGTAGTCAGTTCGAAGTAGATTTGATTTGGGTCGCAGGTCATCATAACATTATCGGAAACGTGGCTGCGAATGGGTTAGCCAGGGAGGATTCCACACTGGTTTCAATCGGGGACCGGATCGGTAGAATTAAAATGTTTGCCATAATCTCCAGAAATCGATTCGTAGGAGGCGCTAGGTCGCAGTATCGCCTAACGCATGAGATTCGTGTATAAAAAAATGCCATTTAGGAAAACCGAGAGGTAGTTTTGTAAAACTTTGCTTCAGAACTTCGCATTGCTAGATAAGTTCAATACAGGATTTTAGATAAGTCTTGCTAAATAGAATGCGAGGAAAGCAAAACCATGAGTAGCTATCAAATTTTGCGCGCTTTGGCGATCAGTAGCATACCTTCTATGCTTCACGTTTTGTTGCTAAAGTTCAAACTGTTAAGCAAAGCGAGGAAAGTCGTCTGGAAATGGCCCTTTACTGGCCACTAACCGATTGTCATTCACCCCAGAAAGCTGGGCAGTGCCTATAATAAATTGCGTAGAAGTCGCAGCAACGAAAATGAAAAGGGAACTGTCTCAATTGCTGTTTGGATACGGTAGTGGGCTTCAATTTTATCTGTCTGACATGTGAAAGTTCCCAACATGACACCAGTGATCTCTTCATATGCCCACTCAATAAAACTCAACTAACACCGTTCCCTCTCTGGTCCGAACCCGTCGACACAACCTGTTTGCTGGGCCCACCTTTAGCTGAACTCTATAATAAGCAGGGTTAAGTAGCCACTGCAACAACACAAAACTGTAGAGAACGTTCTCTGAAGTTGATCAGCTATCAAAATTCCTCTCGAAGTTCAATATTTTATTTAAAATCTACAGTTGCTGTTTACGACTTTTGTGGATATTCAAAGCATCCATGGCACGCATATCTTCACAATTATTTCTAAATGTATGTTTTGTATATGTATACATATGTAAACAGTAACGGCATTTACATAAATTAACACATTTTTCATACACTTTAGCAGCAGAAATTAGCTGACATTTGTTAGATGAATATCTATTATCCTTAATTACTCTAAAGCGCGCAAAACCAGTCTATAGCTCTATTCCAATTCGATGCCTTCACCGTTGACTTGAATAGTTATGGCCACATCGTGCGGCGGCAACGATTCACGACTAACCGCCACACTATCGCCTTGACTGGTCACCGGTGAACGATAAGGCAACTCATGCAACTGTATATCCGCTTCACTGCTACGTCTTATCGAACGGCGACGCGTATGCAGCAGTACGGTATCATGGCGTCCGGGAAGCGCTAAGTTGTTATCCTGTTGTTGACGCAGATGCGATTGCGCATAAACAGCGTCAGTTAAATCCAGAATATTGGAATTGGGACGCAGCGTATTCCCGCATATGGTTGCGCCCGCGCGCGGCACATCCTCATCACAATCGCGGCCCTCCTGGGCATTCTGCAGCTGCATGGCCTGCTGACGCGCTTGATGACTACTCGAATAGCGACCATCCGCCGAGCGTGAGCGACGCTTCTTCACTGCCTCCGCGCATACGGTTAGCAAGTTCTGAAGCAGAGAAATACAAAAGTTTAGTTAACATTTCAAGAAAAAGTATACACCCGAACATACCTCATCCATGCCATCGCGCGCAACGCCACGCCGCAATCGACGCAACCCATGCTGCTCATCCAATTTGTTAGTCATGGCGGACATCCAATCCTTGGCATGCGCCAGCGAAATTGAGGATTGCGAACGCTCTGGCAAGCGCGAAGGGAATAGGGATTCGTGCGTGCCTGTCACGCCACCAGCATCGAGCACAAAAATACGCGGGAAATCGATGACAAAATCACGACTACGCATCAGATCGCCAAGCGCGCCGGCGCGTTGCACACCAGCGGGACTGTTGGTGCTGTTGAGATTTCCAGTGGCAGCTGTGTTAGTGGCGACCGCTTCGGCTGCGGCTGGACGATCAGGTTCATATTCTAGAATACTCTCTTCACTACCAAGGAACTGGAGGGGGGAAGAGAATAATGCTTAAGTGGGTTTGGCATCGAGTTACTTATATTTACAATGTTGCAATTGACTTGCGATGAATATTCAAGCTAAAAAATGTATGTAGTATAAGCGCATGTTAGTAAAATGTTCCAAGCGCAGACGGAAGGGCTAAGCGCTTATTTACGGGGTTTTGTTTACATACATATGTATGTAATAATCTTCAGTAGTGAGATAATGAACTTTTCTAGCTTTTTAGCCATGTACATTAGGGTGGCTCGCCAAAAAAGTTGCAATTTTCCCACCGGATTAAATAGTCTATTGTATCCTAAGACCTTCTCCAAAACATTTTGAAAAAATATTGATATTCAAGTGATTTTTTAAAATGCGTTCAAAAATTTCATTATTTTGATTCTGTTGACAAAATTTTTTTAAATATTTTTAAGCTGAAACTTTCTAACATCTGAATTTACTTTTTTTGAAGAAAAAACACAATCTTAAAAAACTAATTTTATTTATAAAAAAAATAAATTTTGGAGATGTTTTCAAATCGATTTAGCTCACGAAAATCTTGATTTTTTTCGAAATATTACATGTGGCGAAAGTCTCAAAATATAATAGATTTTATAATTCTGATGAAAAAACATTAACGGATTTTTTTTTTTTGCATTGAAAGTGATGCACACTAATGTACATAAATAAGCAGTGCTTGAGAAAGCTGATATATTTTTGCGTTTACTGATGGTTCAACTATCTTTTTCAGCAAATTTGTGTAAAATTCAAGCACAGCTTAAGCATAAAATCTGTGGTAATATTTTAATTTATAAGGACTGGTTAACACATAGAAGTTTCGAGAGTTGACTTAGTGACTCACTTTTATGAGTCAGCTTAGTGATCAGGCGAAATTCGGTTCGGGGTGTTGCTTATTATGCTATTAGGGCTGATTGACACATTAAAAAAGTTATAAAAGAAACCACAATTATTTATAACACTGTGTGACCATTTTATGGCAATTCAAGCCAGTACGGACTTTGCTAATATTTTCTGAAAAAATATACATCCAGTAATAAAACACTCGATGGGCTGGCAAAAGTCAGCTCATATTTTTATTTTATAGCCTCCTAAAGTGTTTATGTCCGGGCCTAAGTAGCTTTAAAAAAAAATATCTAAGCGAAGTTTAAGGTTAAGACATGTATATATAGTAAAATTTCATGAGAAATATTTTAACCCATTAGCTCCCGCCTCAAAGGGTCGCATTCACCCTTACTTTAAGAAAACCCCTCAAAAAGCAAATTTGGAAGTTCGTTAGAGGATTGATATATTCTAGAAAAATTTTATTAGGGGTCTTCTCGGGAAAAAACTTCATGTCACCAAGGCAAAAGTCTCTAAAAAATTAAATTAATATACCTTTCGAGATATTCTGGGTATAGTTGCTGATTTTTTGGGAGTCTTTTTGGGATTGTCCGTGTATGGTCCTTATGTGACTTTACGGAATATTTCGAGACTCTCTTTGATGTAATATTTTTCAAGACCTGTCTTTTTGAAAGATTTAAGACCTCGAGACTTTTCGGGATATTCTAGGGGTTTTATCCGGGCTGCTGGGTATTTGTTTTTAGTATTTTCGGGACCTTGCGGGACTGTTCGTGTTTTAATATTTTCGGGTTTTTCAGAAATTTTTCGGGCTAGCTTGGGATTTGAGGACTTCGCGGGATACATGATTTAAAATTTTTTTGGGGATTCATAAATAGTTCACCTATTTTTGCCAGGTGGGATTGAAGGATTTAGTATTTCAAAACTATTTTATATAATTTCTGGGCTTGCTCGACTTTTTTTCGAGTATTTTTGTGTTTTAATATTTTTTGGATACTTGCGAGTTTTAAATTTTTGGCGATTTTTCGTAAAGATTATCTTTATAGAAAAGTAACTATTTTTGGCGGATTATATTTCATCGTAAGAGTCGCATTTTAGGACTCTTCGTTTATGGAAGGTTTTCCGAGACTTTTCAGGACTCTTCGTGTGTTAATATTTTTGAGAACCCATCTGAATTTGTGGATTTTACGGCATAAGTGTTTAGCTTTTATTTTATTTTTTAGTATTTTTCGGAAACTTTCGGGAATTTTCGGGGCCTGCCTGTATATTTTAGTTTTCGGGGCCTTTTGGGATTCCTCGCAATTCTATGGGACCATTTTAGTATTTGTTCGGAACATTTCGGGATGCTCCAGTAGGGAAATTTAGTAACCAGTTTGCGTCAGTTTTCGGACCGCTATCGCAACTTCCCGAACTTGCTAAATTATTAGAGAATCCTCTCACGAAGGTATGCTTTCATCTCATTTTTATGAATGTCCAAAAAAAGAAAAAGCAAATTTTTTTCCCGCTCAAAAATGTCCAATCAAGTTTTGTCTGTTATTTTTTACTCAAAATATTATAAGCAAAAAAAAAATAATGCGATATTTTTCACAAAATAATAAAAGCACTCAAATTACCAATACATATTTTTTGCTTTTTACCATAAAAAAATTTTCCCGGCAGGCAAATCAGTAAACAACCAATAAATAAAGTTTTGACTTGTTGCCTTTTATTTCTCGTTTTATTCCTAATAATTTTATGCCTTGAATTAAATTTCTTATAAACGCGCGTAAATAATAAAAAACACACAAATAAAATATGTATAACACCTTAAAATATTTAAAGTTTTGGACGATTTTTCGTAAATTATATGCTGGTATATGTATCTTTCTGTATTTTTTTAATAAGTATCTGCATATCTATCGTACGCTGTTTTATATGTATGTAAGTAGCTAGTACATTTGAAGAAAAATTTCCAATCTGCATTTTATTTTATTATTTTGCTCAATTGCGTTATTTCACTGGCTTATTTACTAATATTAACTGCAATTTAAGTAACACATATCTGCTGTTCTAATTTACCTTAAATACTTTAAATTTTTTAATTTATTTATTTTCTGTTTAATTAATTATTAAGTGACTAGTCAATAGTCATTACGACCGTAGCGTATTATTTTGTAGTGTTTAACGGCACACTCAATTGCTTCGCTACTAACTACAAATATTTATTTAACTGTTTTTTTTTGGTTTCTATAAACAATTAAATAGCTAAATATATATATTACTTTAATATCCATACATACTGGTGTACGGATGTATATATGTGTGTGCTTTTTAAGATACTGTCTGAGGAAGACATTTGCAGAGTTTTTTTTTTTGTTGGTGTTTAGAATATAATTTTTTATATCGCTATGATTGAAAGTATAGGCTCATAGGTAATTTTGGAAAGCTGTTTTTGCTGATCGTAACGCTTGCTTTACTAGCGATGAGAGCTTAAGTATTCAAGTAACTTTACATATTAGGCGGAAAAATTTGTTAACCAATTTAATGGGAAACGGTGTCATTGGGAACAGAAAAAATTTGTGTAGACTCTTAATACCACTAGCTGCTACTTTTCTTCCTACAAATGCGGCTTAGTCGCAAAATAAATCCTGTAGTCAAGACCAAAGCGATGCAAAAGCTAGTAAGCAGCTTTTTTGGCCATATCTGAGACGACAAATTGCTTTAAAAAGCTTCTGCCGTGGGATATGTTTTGATCCTAGCTCATCTATGTCAGTGAAAGCATTCACCCTCTGTCGGTCTCATTGGAAACAGGAAATATTTTTGTGGACTCTCAATACCACTATCTGTTTTAAATATTTTTTTTTTCAACAAATGAGGCTTCATCGCAAAATAATTCCGGTAGTCAAAACGAAAGCGATGCGTAGTAAATATGCTCTTTTTTTGTCTATATCAGAGACGATCAAAGTGAGCTCTTACCTAGTCCACACTAATACAAAATCTCCAGAAAGCTTTAAAAAGCTCTCCCCGGAAAACTTAAAAAAACATGTATTCCTGGGAGGTGGTCAACTCTAATTAACTTACTTGAATAATTTGAAAACTGTTTGAGTTTCCTAGTATTCGACTGAGTACTTTATGTCCTCCTCTTCTCTTTAGTAAAATCTTTATGATCTCATCACTTGATCTCAGTGTTGCTCATATACAGCTTTTACTCTTCACGCGCCCATATAAAACCATTAGAAAGCTTTAAAGAGTTCCGTGTTCGGTCGCTGTTTTGAACATCACTGTACATCAGCGATACGCAGAGAGCTTTTACTCTGCACGCGCCTATAGAAAATGTATAGAAAGCTTAAAAAAGCTTTGCCCGCGGGCAAGTAAGTGCCCATCACTACTGTACATTGAGTACATATATGTATATCACTCACGATCAGAGAGAGCTTTTACCCTGTACACATGCACAGAAATTTTATTTATATCAAAGGATCTGACAATAAGCCATCTCGGCCACTTGAGTGAGGTAAGATTAGTTTGTAGTGGCTGCCCTACATTCTAGATGTAAGCTTGTAGTTAATTCTGACCACATACCAAAAAAATAGAACCAATTGGAAGGATCCATGAATCATTGTAAATCGCAAACTTTCGTCAAACTAAAGTCTGACAGTTAACAAGAAAAGTATTGATTAAATATATCGTTGCTAAGGCTGTGTAATGACAGCGAATGTGTTCCCGACTTCCTCGTCGTCGCTACACCTACGGCATTGGTCGTTTTCTGGAATCCCATTCTGTCTAGTTTGAGTACACGGAATAGTTTTGAAAGTGCGGTGGTTCCATGGAGAGAGGACAATGAAAGCTTTTTGCTATTAGAGCTTTGTAAGTATCTCACCGGAAGCTAGTGGCCGCGACATTTCTAACAGAAAAACTTCTTCTTTTCAAATGTCTCCAATGAGAAATTACGTCAGCTGTTCATCTCGACTGCAAACAGCTCCTTCTGTACTCAGTTCTTCCTCGGTATTCATGGGCGTCGTTTCTGTATTTGAGTGGATATATGAAACGTCCGGTATTCCGGCATGGAATTTTTTACCATGAGCCTTCAGAGGGGTCTTTAATTGTCAATTAGTTGCTTTTTAAAAAGATTGCAAACACAACTTTAGGTAAAAAATAACTGAGCTTGGACAAAGTAACCATTACATTTAAAAACAGGAAAGCCTTTCTCCTGCTCCGTCGATATTGACAAACAAAAAACTAAGGGGACAACCAGAAGTAAAATTCGACACAATTTTCATGTTACGTTGGTGGTTCTTGTGGCACTCTTTTTGTAACTGTCCCTCTCTTTCTTTCCCTTGCTATGCCACATCACTGCTATCTATATCTACGAACCGATCTGCACTTATCATATAAATCTTAGCAACGAACCTGCAAATGTCTGCTCATATGTCAATTTGCATAACCTATGTATACAACTACACATACTGCAATCGTTAATCGTTAGACGTAATCGTTATCGTTAAGCCTTAAGAAGTCTCAAAATCTTTTACTCGCTTATACACTTAGATATTAATGTACATAGTTACGTTCTTAAAAACCTACCTTTTAGCAATTAGTACTTGGCATTTAACGTTAAGCGCTTAGCATACTTAAGACAACAACGGAAGAAATCTAAATATTACAAAAATTCTTAAAACGAATAAAAATATATAAATGTTGCACATTAACAGCAAAAATTATTTACAGTGTAGTGATGTGTACAACGTAGCATACGTACAATAATGTATCTATACATATGTATGTGTGTAGGTGCATATTTTGATGAGTTGCATTGCAGCGCAGCCCCACGCAAATAACGAAAAGCTCAAATTATAAATCGCCATTTCGCAAACAAAACAAAAAGTCGAGTTCACTTGGCTGCTGCGCTGCTATTTGGCGTTGAATGTAGTGGCGGTTGCTCTTCGTCGTGCAATTAAACGTCCGTCACCTGATGGCTAGCGGTGGACACTTGCAACACCAAAGGCGCTGAATTGCGACGCACAATGTTCGTTGTGGCGACAGACGCGACGTTGTTGGTGTTGCCGCTGTGCGCATGGCCACAGCTATGCTGACAACTGTTACAACTATTGCACTGTTGCTGCTGCTGCTGCTGTTGTTGATTGCAACAATTTGTATCACCCTGCGTTTGACTGCTACAATTACAATGACTATGACTACTACCACTACTACTAGCGCAATTGATGCAATGATGCGTGTAAGCGTGCGTATGTGCTTGCTGCTGCGTCTGTTGGTGCTGCGCATGCGCCAGCGCCACCACCGCCGCCGTCGTCGTCGTTGCCGCTGGCAGCTGTGTTTGCATTTGTTGCTGCTGCTGCTGCCCAACTGCACTATTTGCTGCACTTGAAGCATGTGTGGCTTGTGTTTGATGATAATGTTGTTGGCGTGTTTGCGATGATTGCTGTGCCGCCGAAAATGGCGGTGCTAGCGCAACTACAATGACTTCCACATCGTTTTCACCGCCGCCCAAATTGGCGATATTGGGCGGCATGTGTTGTGGACTAGGCGTCGTTTGAATTTGATCACCCACCACAAAACCGTAAAATTTCAGCACGTCCAACTTGCACATCGGGCAGGTGCGGTGCTCAATTAGCCATGGATCGATGCAGTTTTTGTGAAATTCATGTCTAAGTGAAGGTTGGGGGAGAGAAATTGTAGAAATTGAAAATTTTGTATTATGTACTCGTATAGTAGGCAAGGACTTGAGTGTCCATTTTCACTTACTTGCAGGGCAATACTCGTATGCAGTCGGATGGTTTGTATGCCTCAATGCATATGGCGCAACAATCGCTGTCCAAATCCTTTTCATCGCTGCTCTTGCCTGTTTTTGTAGGTATTTTCATGATGGCTTTCTTGGTAACCGAGCACAATTGACGCTGAAAAGAGAAGTGAAAAATAAAGTGAAATTTAAAAGTTTGTGGAGGCAGTGGTTGTGGAAGTGGTAGTTGGTAATAATAGTGGTAGTTTAAATGGTAATGATAGTGGTAATGGCAATGATATCGTTAATGGTAATTATAATGGTAATGGGTATGGCCATAGTATTGGTAATGCCAATGGAAATTTGTATGGTAATGGTAATTGTAGTGGTAATTATAGAGGTAATGGTAGTGTTGATGGTAATGGTAGTGGTAATGGTAATGGTAATTGTAATGGTAATGGTAGTATTAATGGTAATGGTAGTAGTAATGGTGATTATATTGTTTATGGTAATGATAATGGTAATGGGTATGGTCTTAGCGCTGGTAATGCAAATGGAAATTTGCATCGTAATGGTAATGACAATAGTAGTGGCCATTATAACTGTAATGGATATGGTGACGGTAATGGTAATGACAATAGTAATGGTACTGACGATAGTAATGGTAATGATATTGGTTACGGCAAAGGTAATAATAATGGTAATGGTTGCGGTGATGCTAATGAAAATGGTTAAGATAACGGTAATGGTATTGATATGAGTAGTGATAATAGTAATGAAAATGGAAACTGTAATGGTAATAACAATGGTACAGGTAAAGGTAATTGTGGTGACAATGGTACTGATAATGGTAAAGGACTGGCATAAGTTAAAAGGTGTTTTTAGGTTGAACGAAGCCCATTCTTAGTCAGTACCAGAATTTACATTAACCATCAGAGCGGAATACGACCACTGTCAGCATTTTTTGTAGGTTCAGCCAAAAACTACTAAACCCGCCAGCTCACCCAGTAGTGCTAAGAATGTATTTGAGAAACATTATTGTGGAAGCATCCGAGCACCGATAAGCGTATTGTCGATAATCACTGCAGTGGAGGAATCAATGGTGGTTTCCACACTGGGAACTAGAGATTTAATTTTAATACTAAAATTTCTCAAGACTGTCTTAATAGAGACGCTATAAATCCATGTGTTGGCATAATAATTAGATCTTAAAGTCGCAGTGTTCTATTCTAAATAAAAATATATTACGATAACGGTGAAGATAATGGTGATAATGATGGTTTTGAGTTAACGCTTGTTTTCATTAAATTCGCTTTACATATTTGTGTTAAAAATCAAAGATATTTTATTATTTTTTTTTTTCAAATTTCTCTGAACTTACCGATTGCTGGTCCTTCGTTTGTAGGTATCTAAAGCGTTGAATATAGTAGAATAGCAGCCAAACAAGTGAGATCACCATCAGCACAATGAAGGAGATGGACACGAACAGCACCGAAGTTCTACGAAGTATATGTAATGAAATATTGAAGAAAAAAAATTAATTAAAATATTTTGTGCACTTAAATGTGGTTTGAAGAAATCAATGCTTAATAAAATTTTGAAATTACATAATATTTAGAGAAAATTGAGAGTAAATAAACAATAAATAAAGGCAACATATTTACAGAATATCAATAAATAGAATAATTTTATCAACATACGAATACAATAAGTTTAAGAGTAGAGCACTTTAATGCCATATAAAGCCACAACGAGGATTTTTACATATTAAAAGAAATAATAAAAATAAACAAAAATTACATACATTCAAAGCTTAAAAGTGTGTTTAAAAGTAAATTGAAGAAATATTATGAAATACATAACTGTGGCATTTTATTAAAACAACTTAAGTGACTTTAGAAAGTTTGACTTTGAAATAAAAAATAATAAGCTTCGCTTGAAAAACTTTATATTTTTTATTAAATTTATAGTAAAAAGCGCGTTATTTTATTTACTTATTTACACCTATGGCTAATTAGTCGTTGAAATAATGTTTGCGAAACAAATGAAATATTGCTTTAAGAGGAAAAAGTCTTATCTCGAGATAAGTTGCTTTAACAAAGTGCCACAGGTATGTATGTATGTAAGTAGATTTACACACAATTTTTATAGCCTATTTCCACCGAGAAAAAATCGTTTTCTGATTGTTTTCCACTAAGCCATATTTTGAGGTCAGAATTTGTCATTATATTTTGTCAAAACAGTGCAAAATCTGAGAAATTGAAATATCGAATGGAAAAGTACTTTTACCAGAATTCGAGCGAAGTAAATACATACTTCTCCTTTTTGCATTAAAACATTTTCAATATTTTCGTTTAATCCTCACACTGGAGATGCTTAAAATTTCCAGAGCTTAAGAGAACACTTGACTGCAATTAAGCGTTTGGTGAAAATAGGCGATTAGGGTGTAATATTTTATTAATCATAATACTCTAGGAAGATATTTTTAAATTACTGCTATAAATTTTAGGAAATTTAATTGTGTAAAAAATTGTATGTATTTAATTTTCACCTGCAAAAACTTTGGCATTAAGATCTTGTCGAAAAAAACCAGGTGAAAATTGTACTCAAAGAAAAGGAAACCAGTATTTAGTTAAAAATCCTAAAAGGTAAAATTTTGTTTTTGGTTTTAATTTGAACTGAAATTTAAGCGTCTTAGTACAGGGTGGAGATTCAACTCACATTCGGAAGTTAACTGGACATTTTTTGTAAAAAAAAAATGGCAAGTATGCGAGTTAACTCTATTGTAAAAGATATTTTCATAATTTTAGCATTATTCGTTTTTATTTGTTGTGTGGCCTTTTTTCAGAAGTTAAGTATACATTTTTTGGTTATTTATTTATTGTATAGTAGATATGTATGTACAAGTTTATTTTTTATATATGTACGTACATATATAAGATATATGTAGGTATATTTTTCATTTCAAACAATGCATGAACTCGGATATGTTGTAGAACTGTTTATCGCATCACACTACTACATAACTAATACATTGTTTTGTTTACTTTTTTATTTTTTAAATATTTTTATTTTTTTTTTATTTATGTATGTAAGTATGTATTTTATTTTGTGAACTTTTGCAAAAACTCAACAAACGTGAACAACACTACGAACTTACTTTTTTATGATCTACAACATATCCGAATTTCATCCAAAATGTAGGCGGCTACCCTGTACGATTTTCTTGTAGTATCTAAAAATAGCATAAGGAAAATGCAAATACATATATGTATATAGGTATAGGTATGAAAAAATGCAAATGTTTCAGATAGAAAATGAGACTAGTAGTATGAGTTCGATTTGGATTTTCAACAAAAATTACATACACTTGACCATTCTTTATTTCACTCTCTCTCTCACTCTCATGCCACCTTAAGACCTCAATCAAGCTATGATCAAAGAGTAGACAACGGAGCATGGTCTATCGCCGCACAAAATATACAGCAGTAAAAAAACCTATGCTGATCTTAAAAGCATTTGACAAATCTCTTTCGTTGGTCGTTGGTTAACACCAAATGCTATCTCATCAAACCCTAAAATCATGCAACGACAGGAATCTATATTTACTAGAACGACAGTAATTCGCTCAACCCTTCACGCTTCCATATGAGATAGAGTCGGGCTGAAGTACAGAAGTTGCAGTTAGCAGATAATAGAAGTTGCCTTTGACCAAAACTTCGAAATGCATTTTCATGACAGAAGTGTCTGGGAACTTAATATCGGGATGTAAATAGCTCAGTGGTTAACGCTTCTGACTTTGAATATCGATTACGCAGGTTCGATCCCTGCTGAAGTCTAGAAAAAAGAAATCTGATGAGGAGATGTGGTGATCTCCGAAATAGCTGCTATAACTTCTACCGCTTAGACTTTGTTACTTTTCCAATTTTTCCTAATAAAAACAATCGTGGTACAAAGCTCAATAAAAATATTAAAAATAAAATGTTAATAAGCCACAATAACATTGTTAAACATGTTCACTTAATCGTTATAAGCTTTCCGCAATGGAAAATCACGTCACTATCGCACCATCATACAAAGGCCTACGCCATCATATTTACATTCAGCTATCTAAGCAATTGACATGTAATTTCCTTGTAAATAATGTCTTTCGTGATAAGTAATGTACAAAATAAAAGTAAGCTATTAAGCAAAGTGCATACATACATATGTAAGTGTGCATGTAAATGGGCAATTTATTGCCGTGATTCAGCTATGAATACACAGACGTCGCTCAGCTAGCGAGCAACTCAAAAAACTTCCATAGTTGCCGCAATAATAAAAATCGCATTTTAAACCGGCGTAAAGTATGTAAATACTAACAAAATAACAACGCGCTTTGTTATCATTTTGATGAGTTTTTATTTTTTATTTTAAAGCATTTTGTTTTTTCTTTTTCTCCTTTTTAGTTCGCACATCTGCCGCGGCTGGTGGGTGGGTGTTTGTTGGTTAAAAGCGCTAATTTTTATTCATTACCAAAAGTAACCTTCCAACACAATGGGGGCCAGCACAAATTTATGACGTACGTGCAAAGTATTTAAAAATGACTGACAATAAGAAGTGAGCCATAAAGCGAACAAAAAGCGAAATGTATTTAAATAAATAAAATATAGAAAAAAATATTCATGTAAAAAGTCAGATAAAAAAAAACCAAACTCTATGCGAATTTCACACATTGCGCCGCTGTTCTGCATAAAAAAATGTGTACA